CCCGACAGGGACCTTGTGAAGGACAGCCTCCTCCCACACAGCTCTCAGGGGCCTGGTTGTGCTCTTGAAAGGCCATAGTGCCTGACTGTTCAGCAAGACCCATCAGGTGGCCCTAAGTGAATGGGCTGCCCGATGGGCCCAATCCAGTACAGCAGCACCGGCGGTAGTTCCGACACTGAGATTCACACTTAAAATGCCTTGCAGAACAAAGAAAACAACACCATTTCTCAGACTTATTTAGATTTTATTCATATTAAATTATGTTTCATATATAAATATTTTATGTGAAATGAAAGCCCTGTTTCTCCTGAACAAAATAATCTGTAATAAGTGTGGGTGCATGTTTTGTTTAGATCAGAACTTGTACAATTTCCTCCGTCTTTAAGGAAATAAAAAGCCTGTAGTTACATACCGTATATCAGACTGCATACCGTACATTATGCTGTTTAACACTACATTAAGTCGAAATAACGTACATTAGGCTTTATATATTAAGCGGTATACTATGCATTAACCTGTGGACTGTACATTAAGCTGTATACCGTACATTTATTTATTTATAGTATAGAGAATAAAAGGAGTTAAACGCTGTTTAGAGGATATTCCCCTTCCAGATACACAGACAGCTACGAAAGACACCAATCTGCTGAACAGGAAACCATATGAATGCCGTAAACAGGCAAACCGGAACCATACGAATAGGTTTACACTCCTAGCAGTCGAAGTGGAACAGCATACAATAAATCCCCCCAAAAACGAGACAAGGCTCTGTTTTGAGGGTCAAGCAGGAACAGTCAGAGCTGTGGGTTTATTGTTCTTATGTACACATTAGTACCACCCACAGGGTTTTGGAAAACAACCAATAAACACATACAATACACTCAGACACTCCCACACAAATTCCTCCCCTCTGCCTGTGATACAATTACCTTACACAATGGGTAATGTAATTATCACAGGCAGAGAAATACAGTTTTTCCACATTATTCATAACTTTAAAAGTATGCATCACATTCACATAAACTTACATTTTCAGAATCAGCATACTCCAAATACAAACATATGTCAAAATCATCCAAATTGGTCTATTGGTTCAAAAGATAGATCGAAGTCCTTTGTGACCAAAGGAAGCATGGCTTTTTTGCCCAAAACCAGTTCCACAGAGTCTTCTATCCTGGAGATAATTGGGAAGTAATCCAATTATCTCCAAGGACAGAGGCAAAACTCCATTAAGCACATGGCAGTAAAAAGACAGTAAAATACAATAAAATACACAAGGTTACATTTATTACATAAAATACAGACATGCAACATATCCCCAGATAGCTTAGGTCTGAGTGCACATTATTACTGAATGACGTTTAGACCACACACATACAGTTCAATTGCCCTGGAGCCAAAGTCTTTTATTACACGAATAGGCTCCATTGCATAGCTATCTGGGTTAAATGAGTTCATTCAGTAAATCCAAGAATCTACCGAACGCCAGGGCAGAAATACATGACTAGACCTTTCTGCATAGGAAAATAAAGTATTTAAATGCCGGTCCATAGTCAAAAGGCAGCAGGCAGGCAACCAGGCTCCTCCAATGCACAGTTACGAGATTGGTCTCGTCACAGGATACATTGAGATTTCTCTCATTTTCAAGTATGTCCTGGGTCTACAAAACATTGCTGTAGCGGACCACCTGGTAACCCGACCGGTTACCTCTGCTAATTCCCTTCCTTCAGCCGATCAGGGAATACAAAGAGGCCCATTTCCCGCCAGTAACTGGACAAGACACAGTTTGGAGGTACAAATCTGACAAACTTTATTGAAAACAGTCTTCTTTTATGCACAGATCCCACAGGGGGTCTACATTCATTCAGTACAAATTCCTCAGTCCCAGGCTAGTGGGGGGTGGCTTACAGCAGATAACCATCTCCCGCTCTGGGAGATACCAACTCTACAAAAATTACACACATTAAAACATAGTACATATAGGGTCACCCATATCCGACACATATCACTGGTTAGCCCCGGGTACCCTCTTGGATCCCAGCAAATAGCAGGGCTATCGGATGTACAGAGCCAGAGAAATCATCGTCTAAAGTCTAGGGCTCGAAGCTCTGTACATTCCGCTTGGTTTAGTCCGGTGAATTCAAACTTTAAGCAACAAACCAAATCGCGCCAATCAGCACTCAGGGAGGAGAGGAGTTTTGCCTCCCAATCATACGAAAGGGTGT